GGAATAGTAGAGGGAAAGCAGATCAAGCAAGGAATCATACGTTTACCTTGGATAGTTAATCCATCTAATAGTGGGATGCAGGAAGAAATTTGACAAACTCGAGCTGCTTGGTCAAGCGTTCTTAAATACCAAAACGTACTTGATGAGGGCCCCGATGTGAAAGATCAGGGTGAACATCAATTTAATAATTTTGCCGCCCTTCCTAAGAATACATAAGAATTTTAAGCTGAAGGTAAGTGTGAATGCGAGATCTTTGCGAGACGATTTTTAGGGTAGCTGTATCATTAGGTGGACGGGGGTAGGAAAAAAAGACATTTTGTCTCCAGACTCAAATGGATTTAATCACACTTTGCTCAGCTCAAAGCGTGTGCTCCCAACTTAGAATTGAAGAGCGCATTTCATTTCATAAGAAAATCTTCATAGTGGCCATCTACGTGGACGGCATCAGAAAGGTTTGCCCCGGAAACATCTGGGGCCGTATGCTATCCTCCCCGAAGGGGTTGGGGGACGAAAAGTCCTTTAAATTTTCTCTGTCTTCCCAACTGGGATTGCCCTGATAAAGGGCCTACATTTAATGTATGTATGTAGGTTAAAGTAAACATGCACTAAAAATGAAGAAACTAAGAAACTAAAAAAGGAACCGCTAGAGGAGATCAAGCGCTTGGTGGATTAGATCGTGAATTTCAACCTTGAACCGCGTTTAGGCCTCAGAAGACGACGATTTTGTCGAAACGTTAGGCCGATTGAATAAATGTTCCACCTATCAACCTCGAACGGCAGAAGAAACAAACACAAATAAGAAAAATGAAGAAACTATATCGTTCAAAACAAGTAAATTTAAAGGAAACTTTGGATCACTTAGCTTCGGGGAAGCATAGCATACGGGCCCTGCTCTGGTCGAGCTCAATAGGGTTCTCGACTGGTCGTGTATTGTTACGACGGGTTCCAAAGGGCAGGGGTTTGCATAGTTAGAGCTAATGTCCCTAGGAAACTATCCCACGTTGAATCGATCCAAGAAATTATGTAAGAGCTTCAGGCTGAAGCAGTTACTGTAGGCCTCCCTGAGCTCGACGACGGTGACAGATGACGTCATATTCTGAAGACGGTGAGGGTAGTGAAGGAGGGCCTGCGTGTACTTATAGAGGGACATTTAGGGAATATTTTGCTGAGGAACTTCCGTCAACGACGGCAATCTCTGCGAAGAAAAAAGGCCGAAGTGCGACCTGGGCAAAATGTCTTTTTTCTGCCCCCTCCCTGTATAGGAAGGATTATTACTCCTTCAGGAACATTTCAGTTGTAGAAGTGGGTGCGATGCGCCGAAAGATCATAAGTCATTGTAAACTGTCGATTAGCGATTTCAGTTCCCCTTTTTTTCTTGTTCAAGGTAAGCCACTCAGATGATGGTACTTTCTTGAGCTGCGTTTGCTCAGTACCAAAATATCGAGGTAGTCATTCATGTTTATCGTGTTTTAGGTAACTCACGTGAAGCGCGAATCAAAGTTGGAAGATCTGAACATCGAAGATGGAACGTTTTCATGGACCACGTTCGCTAACCTTGTGAAACCTCAACTAGCTGCCATGGAGCCGAAAGCAAGGTTAACTTTATATTCAATTAATCTCTCATTTCCTCGGGTAAAAATTTCTTTCTAATCAAGGTACGAGGCGGCAAAGAAGTTCTCGGATATCCTCCAAGGCGATCTCTCTGCTACCTCAGGAACTGTAGGTTAATTCTGGTGTGTAATTCATTCCGTGGTATTGCATAGTGGGTACCATTAGCTTCTGATCTTATGCATTACTTAAATCTCTTTCACAGATTTACCACTGTGTTTTATGATTATATTTCCTTTTTCGCTAAAAGCCACGCAGTAATAATTGTGAAGTGTTGTTGTGGTGGTTACATAATTCTGTGGTTATATCTAAATTGTTGTTTTATTTCAATATCATTAGATGGTCACGTGATTGTGTGAAAGTCAACAGACTTCTCGTCAATAAATGTTAAGTTCTTTCATCCTCTGGCCTACCTTTGGTACTTTTGCTCAGTGTATACAAGATGGCGAAAAATCACATGCGCGTGACATTTCGCTTCGTTTAAAACATTGTGTGTGCTTTTTCTTCTCGAACCGTCTATTGCTAGTTATTATTTGCAGAACAGAACATATGTTTTCTAACCAGGAAGGTCTTTCAGGGCGTGACAAGCTTTTTGAAAACGGTCTTTTGCATGATATAGGGGCAGATGCGGGAACCACAGAACCATGTTCAATTTTTCCTGAACGGCCCTCTGAATACCAGAAAAGGAGGTCCCTAGTTCGATTCCTCGTGGTAACAAATTTTTGCATTTCGAGTTGACGTGCCAAAATTCGCGCAAAATGGAGTTAGAACCAACCAGAACAATCAGAACTTCTTGCGGTAACGTTGCCCTGCACATGCGCCAATGGAAACGAAAGCCAGGAGGCAAAGAGAACGGTGTGTGGCGTTCTCGCTGGGGTAGCGCACTAGTCACTATGGTAAGTAATGGAACTTGAAACCTAAAATCAGGGGTGTGCACCTTTAGTCTAAAGTGCAATTATGGGGAGACCACCTCGCACCTACACTCACTTGCCTGTGGGAAGACCTTATTAATTGCGCTAGGTTGTGGCTGACCTCTTCTCTCGTCAGACTCAGTAGCGATCATTTGATTAGTGAACTTCATACATAAACACGTTTTCAAGCTACGGAACAAAAACAAAATAAAAAACGAAGCAAAAATAGAAAAAACACAAAAGCGCACTAGTAAAATTCAAAGGCGGTATATACCAAATTGTTGCGAAACAAGAGATAGAAATGTTTTTAGAAGAACGTTTTAATCTCACATCTTTGTCGTAGATTGAATCCATTTTGTGTTCTTGGCATGACGTAGAAAACTGCACATTTGCATTTATGACTTAATGAATTTTTGGTGAAACTTGATACGCTTTTTGAAGTGGATAAAAAATACAACAGCAAGGTTTTCTGCTGGCTAGAAATTCAAATAGGGTTCTTAAACTTTTATATTGACACATTCTTGACTCATGTTTCAGTTATTTTTCGGTATTGACTTGATTTCACATTTTTCGCTGTCTTTTTTGATTCTGTCAGTGTATCACCACTCACTAATATTTTTAGGTGGGTCATCTATCCTGGTCATTAGCATTCAGTGGCAATAAACTCAATCTCAACATTGCTCTACAACAAATTATCGGCCATTGATTCCATTTTGAGGAACATGAGATGAGATTTGCCACATTGTGCCGAGACTTATGAGGATCAGGGTCTATTATAACCTATCTGAAGGATTCACTTCAACATTCGGAATTGGTGATTCTGAGCTCATGACAAAAAACATCCGGCCAGCAGCAAAATTCCATGCTAATAATTTGCAAGCATCATGACGCTATTGGATGAATGATGAATTGGGATGAATGAGACTCAGAAAGTCCTGAAGTTGTTCTCCTGAAACTCATGCGACATGCAACATGCAAAGGGAAAAGATTTAGAGATGAGAAAAATGGCTACTACACGAATATGTGGATTCCCTACATGGGGGGCTGCTCGCAATAGAGTCATTTTTGAAGAAAAGTCTTGAGGAAACTCTTCTGGATGGGAAAACTTTCCAAACCAGTGTAATCAACGGAGTCTTGTGATAACTTCTTCATTATAGTGATGCAGCGCATCGTAGTAGAATGCCTCTGCGAGGTCAGCAGTCAGCGCAGTCAATTAAGTGAGGTCACCCCGCAGGCGATTACTAGGAGGCATAAGGTGGCAGGTGCGAGGTAGTGATTAAGAGGTCATTTTTGACTAAAGTCCCTCTCCCTAAAATCAGCCCACCCCCATAATGGCGTCGCCCTCAAGTGAGGTTGTTGACAGTTACGGTATTGTTTCCATTATCCTTCGTTCTTTATTTTCTCTGAAGTACACTAATTTTGTCTGCAGAGTTACTTTGGCTGAACGGTTACTTTTCAACTATGAGCCCTAATCTCGTTCAAAATCGAAGTGCAGAGTAAAAGTCCGGTTTCGTTGTTTTTAGTGGTTTCCTCTGGTCTCTTCTTCACTGTTGCATTATTTGATACGTACTTCTACTTCGATATTTGGTCAATATCATATATCGTTATCGTAACCGCTGCTTTTAACGCACAAGTGCAATCTGAGGAAGAAAAAGGAACAGCCAAAAATCGCTATAAAGAAAGCCACTCTTCTACACAATGTTATTCAGCATACAAAGTACATTCAACAGTAGTTACAACTACATTCTATCATAGTAAAAGCTGACGCTTCTCTCATTTCCGATAGGGAGGCCGGCTTCGCCAGTTACATTTCCAGCAGCAGAGTACCAGGAGCCGAACGGATTTTGATCTCCGAACTTATCCACATGCTCAACTCCTTCTGGTGGATCATCTGAAATTTCAAGCATACTGAAAACAATAATGCAGCATCGTGCATGCAAAACTTCCAATGTAACATATCCTTGTAAAAAATTAGGAACTTCTAAAGGTGAGTTAGTTGGTGAAAATGAAATTCAGTGCATAACCATTGACGTGTCTTAATTTACTTCTTCTTTAGTATTCAGCCCACATATTTTATTCCACAGAATTTGTGATTTGAGTTGCTCAGTTTTTGGGGGAGTAAGCGGGATGGGAGTTTGAAATACAACGAAAAACTGAAATAGGAATGACTCAATGGTAAGAAATCGCAAAACCAGTGAGGTTAGTTCAAGGCACAGTTCGCGATCAGGTCCTAAGAAAAATTCTCTTTGTGAATGAAGTAAGAGGGTTCCTAATCACAGAGGTCGTCACACCGTCGCGGTTTGAAAAGGCTCGATAAGGGCGCTAAGGCATTGCGTTGACTGCTGTAATCGCTGCCATGTTTACTCTTTAGCGGCATGTGATGTCTACGCGCTCTCTTATGACGGGATCTAGCGTGAATATCCTTTAACCCTGCGCTATACCCTCCCCGTACCACGGTTTACCTTGGAAAAAATGAGGTCCTTAATTTTAGTGTTTTCTAGGGTTCCTTTTGCTTTTTTCGTCACTGACAGGCCTCTCCGCACCTGGTATTCCATATTTGAACAAAATGACTACGAGTTCTGATCACGGGCTGACTAGGGAAGGATGAAGGGTCGAAGTGGCCATATGAAATGAGACAAGTATCATGGTATGTGGTTTCGGACGCTGATCTCGAATCTTCTTCCCAAATCTGCCAAACGATTCGCTGAACGGAGTTACGGAGGTTTTTTGTTCCCTCACACAGTTTAACACAGTGAGAAATCGGCCTCAGCAGCAGCGGCTTGTGAACGAAGCAGTGAGCCTTTCATCGGGTGCTGGTGGCCTAGTGGTTAAGGTGGTGGGCTTGGGATTTCGGGGTCAGTGGTTCGGATCCGCCCTTGTTTTCCATTTTGCATTTTTGTGACTGACTGTTTGGCAGTAGTGAAACATGATTCCTTCATCATTGGTCAGCCCTACTTGCTTTTGAATGAGTCTGAGGTCGACTCCGTGTGAACCAGGGTGAATAACGGTCGAGGAAATCCTCGACCATAGCTCTCTACCATGCGAGAGTAGTGCCGAGAGTGAACATCCGCGCGGAGAGCACAGACGGCACGGCATGGCGAGTGTGAATGTCCGCGCGAGAGATCGTCTCTGATCGGGCAGAAGAATCCTCGACGTGCCGTTGAAGGAATCCTCAAGCGATATTCACAGTGGTCGATAACTTCGAAATTTTTCCTAACTTGCATGCCACTACATAAGGTTAAGGCGCGCCAGTATACGGAGCGCGCGCTTCAGCCGTTTTTGAGTGAACGAATGTGAGATCTGTGTTCAAGCAGTCCAATAACTCCTGGGGCCGATTTCTAGAAAAATTCGAGATTTTGAATTAATCTCAAAAAAGTGGGCGAGTCACTCATCGATGCTACATATCCATAGCCGGTAGTTCCAGGGTTGATCTACCTATTTGGACGACGGCGACCCTTTAAATTTGAAAATAATAAAATGTGAGAGTTGAAATCATGCTAACAGAAAACCAGACACTGCTTTACACTCTTCAGAAACCAAAAAAAACTTATATCGTCTCAAGGCTATGTAGGCTTCGATGATAGGCTGATGGATGAATGGATAGATACCCACCCAGCCTATTTCGAAATTGGTCGAAATCTCAAATTTGGCTACAAACTTGTCCCTAGGGGTATTTTAATCTCCGGAACACGAATATCACACTTGTTTGCTGCAAAAACGTCTGCCAAGAGTTCTGTGGGCTCCATGTGCAGTCTTAGTGAGTACCGCGAAACTGATTAGAAACTCTTCGCAAAGTCTTTGCACGGGTAACTACAGGCAAGCATTGATCGAGTAAGGTAGCTGGGAGCCTTTTCATCATTTTGCAGCGAAGGCAAAAAAGAGAACCCGCCAGGGAATCGATCCTACGACGTCTCGCACGTGAACCCGGACTACTACCGCTGCACTACTTTCCTTCATAACTCCATTCGGAAAATCGTTTGGCAGATTTGGAAAGCAGATTCGACATCAGCGTCCAAAACGCACATCCAATCGTGATAGGTTCTTTCATAAACGTGCCAACTTCGCCCATATCCATTCCTGGTGGCCTTTAATTGATAGTGGGCCAAAACTAGCTTTCAATAAGTGCCTGGGAATGTTCTTGGATGGCTTAGAAAGAACGAGAAACAAAATGTCTCATTGCTTTCCGCTCGATTAATACCACATACAATACCGCTACTAATTTTTGTTCAATCGACGGTTTGCGACGGTCGGAAACCGTCGCAAACCGTCGGCTCGCCATAACTCTTTAAAAAATGGTTCGCTCGACCTGCAGTTTATACCATCTGATAGCTCTGCTCGAGATCTACAAGATGGTTAAATTCAATTTCTGAAAGAGCTCCATCTAGGATTGCGCCATGCACTCGACCTCCATCCCGAGAAGTAATGAATATACTTTATTCTTTGTATATATTATCTTTCTATTATTATGCCTCGGGCTGAGTGGAGGCTCTGATCGATTCGGGCACAGAAACAGATGTCAAACTCCTCAAATACGCCTGAGTCGCGCTCAAGGCCGATCCACGCGATATGTGGTGATGATTGAGAGTGAATGTTTTTTTTTTCTGAATTTTCACGAATGATTTTAATTCGTTCTAGAGCGCTGTAATTGGCTAACCGTGCGCTGATCAACCCATTCTTCCACTCCAAATGAGAATCTTCGAACAGTTTCCAGCAGTAGTAGTAGACCTATTATGTGACATTCCCCACATTTAGAGGAGATGATTTGCGGAAACCTGAGAAGATAGCCAGGAATCTCTCCACAGACGTAGACTCCAGTTACTTCTCTGTAAGACTGATGTAGAATATTTGGTCACGGGTAAGCGCTCCGTCCGTGGTGTGGCCCCAAACATCACTCTCCGTCATGCCCTAAAATGAAAATCAGAGTTTTTGCTCTTCCAGATGACTCTACAGAGCTGAGGGGTGCACCGTTCGATTTCCCATGAAAAATACTACCGAATGGTGTACAACTCAGGTTTCACACAAAACTTTGTTTTTCTCACTTTTTTGCTCCCCATTGCCGATCGTCCTCCCAGCCCTTGGCGCCACGTGCGATTTAGCGAGAAATTCTCTCCACCGACGTGGACTCCGGTCACTTGTCTGTAGGAAAGAGGTAGAATATTTGGTCACGGGTAAGCGCTCCGTCCGTGGTGTGGCCCCAAACATCACTCTCCGTCATGCCCTAAAATAAAAATCAGATTTTTTGCATTTCCAGATGAACTCGCAGACCTGAGATGTGCCCCATTGGATTCCCCGTGAAAAATGCTATCGAATGATATACATCTACTCCTCCCAGTTGAAACTTTCGTTTTTCACCGTTTTCGGCCTTTTCCTTATCGCCGATCGCCTTCCTCAGCCCTGGCCACCCACGTGCTATTCACGTGCGCGGAGCGTGAGAGCTCACGTGACAGCCGATGGCCTTCTCGGTAGCTGGCGGGCCAGCCGCCGATCGATAATGGCGCTGTTGCGTGTCGAAAGTGCGTGGGAAAGTCACCACGCACCGCGCACGTGAATAGCACGTGGGTGGCCAGGGCTGAGGAAGGCGATCGGCGATAAGGAAAATGCCGAAAACGGTGAAAAACGAAAGTTTCAAGTGGGAACTGAGATGCATATCGTTCGATAGCATTTTGCATGGGTAATCGAATGTGTCACCACAGCTCCGTAGAGCCACCTGGAAGACCAAAAAATCTGGTTTTTATTTCAGGGCATGACGGAGAGCGATGTTTGAGGCCACACCAGGGAAGAAACACTCGCTCAAGCCCGAGTGTATCATCTTTTTCCAACATACAAGTAAACTTACTCTACGATAGGGAAGAGTTCGTCCCTCCCTTCTCGAATTTCCTCAAAACATCCCTTCGAAAATTGCGAAATGTCACAAAATGGATCTAGTGGCAGGTAAACTAGATGTTCTCCAGAAAGTGAGTTGTATACCGTTCGACAGTATTTGTTATGGGGAATTGAATGGTGCACATCTCAGTCTTCTATGTTCATCTGGAGAACCAAAAAAATCTGATCATATCGCAAGGGCATGACGAGGTGTGATGTTTGGGGTCGCACTACGGAAGGAAGACTCACCTGCCACCAAGGTTTCTATGTAATTCCTACAGACAAGTAACCGTAGTCTACATCAATCTTACAGAGAAGTAACTGGAGTCTACGTCTGTGGAGAGATTCCTGGCTATCTTCTCAGGTTTCCGCAAATCATCTCCTCTAAATGTGGGGAATGTCACATAATAGGTCTACTACTACTGCTGGGAAACTGTTCGAAGATTCTCATTTGGAGTGGAAGAATGGGTTGATCAGCGCACGGTTAGCCAATTAGCGCTCTAGAACGAATTAAAGATCGTGAAATTCGAAAAAAAAACATTCATTCAATCTCACCATATGGTGGACCGGTTGGGTACGTGGCGTATTCTGAGGGTGTTGAGATCCATGTTTCTGTGGGATGATCAGGCTGCATAGGAGGACTTATATGCGCATCACATACAAAGTATATTCATTACTTCTCGGGATGGAGGTCGAGTGCATGGCGCAATCCTAGATGGAGCTCTTCAGAAATTGAATTTAACCATCTTGTAGATCTCGAGCAGAGCTATCAGATGGTATAAACTGCAGGTCGAGCGAACCATTTTTTAAAGAGTTATGGCGAGCCGACGGTTTGCGACGGTTTCCGACCGTCGCAAACCGTCGATTGAACAAAAATTAGTAGCGGTATTTGTACTCACTAAAACCAACAGCTGCCTGACGCACAGTTAATTCTGTTCTGATTGCAAGACTGGGCGTATTATGGATACGATTTCATATCTTAGTCATTCATTCCGAACACTTATCATCAATTTTGTATACGGTATAGTAATGAGCCATGTTATTCAGTTACCGAACTGTCCCTGTCTAGTCGATTGCTGAGTTCAAATAGTAGCACATTTTCACCCATGTCCGCTGCACTTTGCCATTTCCTTTCAGTGTTCTGACCGTACTGATTGAACAACACGCCAGCGTTGGCGCTGAATTCCGGCATCGTCAATATGTACCACAGTGGCTGAAGTACGAGCACGACAGTGTAGAGTGATATTCTGAAATATCCTTGATTAGCGCATCAATATTTGCAGCATCGCCAGATGTTTTCGTGCGGGATCGATACATGCCTACTACTATAATTCGCGTCATCCTGCCTGTCACACGGTGTCTCGGACGAAATTCCTTACGTTTTGGGGTTCGGCCGGAGATACGGCACTGTGGGATAGTGGCGCCAGTTATGATCGAGAAGTAAAAAACATACATCAGCCCAGCAGGCGTAGCAGGCATTGCAATGAAAGCATTGACGAAACAAAATTTTATTTTCATTCCAAAGCAGCCAAGAGAAAAGGAAAATGACAAAGGTGTGCATCATTGAGCCAGAACGAATTAGAGAAGCTCGCCGTCGGTGGGCGCGCGGCTTTCTCATAGAAAAGCGGTGGTTTAATGAGAAAATTTGTCTCAATTTGGAGAAAGTCTGCTTCAGCCCGCTGCATTAACATCGTAAAAAACGTTTGCCCTCGACGGTTCCATTAAAATCACAAATCACGCCATCCATAAAGGTTGTTGTTTACTTCTGATACTCGTTCAACTTTCATATTTATGGCAATAGATAGGAACCGAAGAGTAAATCGAACTAAAATCTCATAAGGTTAAGAGGACCAGAGAGCGTGTCTAAGCTTTGCTTGGACCATATCGTTTGCATTATCCTTTGCCCGTGGTTGTTTTGGTGATATCGAAAATATTTCAAAAACTAATGGAATCATCAAACGGCATGCGATTATAATTGGCAGGCCATATGGGCCGCCATCGCTCCACGAACCACCCGTCTCTGCAGCGACCAGATGGGCGCCCGCCAGCATGAAATATTGTTTAACAGAGGGTTACGAATAAACTTTCTGTTCGACCAAACAGAGGTGCAAGTGGGAGGCGGCAAAGAGTAGCGAAGGTGGACATCAGACAGCCTTTTACTTATCCGCCCAAGCATCAAACTACTTTCGAACATAGTCAGTAAAAGCGGATTAGGTAGGTAGAATGCCCTTTACAGGCGGAAACACCGCCCATTACCTCTTGTCCACCTCGTATATACCTGTCTTCCTTCGATAGTAGCCAATTCTACTAAATGGACTCCAATCTACCTTGAAGGCATTGCCAAGTAGAAATCGCTTGAAATTCTTTACTTCTGACTGTAAGTCAGCCGCCGGGAGATTACCAAACGTGCACATTCCCATCATGGAAATCGCTCGACAAGGGCGCTAGAGCCTTCCCAAGCATAGCGCATTCGTTTCCTTACTCATTTGGGAGGTTTACTCGAAGGCCTGCGCACTACGGGAAGACGAATTGCACATTAACTTTTTGCCATATAATGAAGAAATCATAAAAGTTCTGGGCCCGGAAGTTTCTGAAGATAGTAATCATTGTGAATCCTCATTTCAATTGAATTCGCACGAATGGTGGTCACTCTATGCAGCTACCTACTTCTTATGGTACGAACCTGACCATCACATCCTTGAGGTCCTTCAGTTGTGTGTGCTCGGGCGAACCATAATTGAGCAACAGAGGCATATGAACAGCGACTCCCATCAAGAAACATCGCAAGAACGAGGCGACGAAAAGCTGAAGCTTTATGTTTATGAGCGTTTGCGACTTCGACTTTGAAAAAGTTCTACCTGCTTCGTGTGTCCCGACTCTTCTGACCAGTTGTATCGCCATCGCTGTTTCAGTCCGCGAATACCGTACAAAAGCACCGCCAGCATTATGCATCCAATTCCTAAAGGCAGTATGGCATTGGCTGTCTGCACAAATCACTTCTTTCCAGTTATGCAGCGTCCTGCCAGCAGCAGGCGAGGAAGGGTATAGGAGAATGAGGAAACGACGTGACTGCATACTTCCTTCTAAAGATTTATGTTGCGGTAAATTGGGTGCTCAAGAGGGAGAAACATGGGTAGAGTAAGGGAATTCTGAGCTACCGGGATGTGGCGCTTTGAGAAGAAGCGTGTGCCGGCAGCGGCCTAGTAAGATTCCGTCCGTGAGCGCCACTCTCGCGCAGGCATTGGATCTAGGTGGGGGAAACGATAGCAGAAGCTTGCTGGATGCTGATAATCATCGTCGTTCGATTTAGCTCTTGGAGCAGTATTCTAGCTCATGTGGTCGTATCCTCTACGTGTCTATCTCGGAAATCTACAATTTATTTATTTTATTTATTTGAATAACATGTTGTGAACAACATGTGAACGCAGAGATAACGTGCAAGCAGAATATAGGTTCCTCGGAGGGTTTTGGGCCTTTGTGCTGCTTTCTTTGATCATTTGTTCATCACTAGGTTACTTGCTACCTTCATCTCCAACGGCAACCAGTCGTATCGTACCTATCTTGTTTTACCAACTGTTCTCAAAGGCAGCGGTCGCGATGTCTGAGAGAAGGAGGCAACTTGAGCACGCCATAGGTGGAAATGCATCGGAAGGAAAAGAAAAGGATCTAACCATTCTCCACAGCGCGCGAGGGGGTTTGGTCAAAACGCTTCTCGACACCTTTCTATCTTGCCCAATTCGACGCCGCCTCTTTTCTACCGCAGTGAAAATGTCCATTCCGGATGCTCGGAGATAATTTTTCAAAGCGATGGTACTCATCTGGTTCCACCTTTTCTCACACTACTGTCCGTAAGATCTGCCGATAACCACGCCAATGCCTCTTCGTAGTAACGCATACCAAAGAGCACAGGGCAGAAGCCACTCTAGCTCCCAACAAAACTTCACTCATGGACTAGTTTTGGAGACAAAAGCAGTGGAAGTATTGAATTTCTAATAAAAAAAGACTGCTAAAAATGTTCAAAATGCGGGAGAGTTGAGGAATTCACTGATTAACAATGATGCTAACACGTACTTCGCAACGCCTTCTATTGGAATCGGTTCCTTTTTCTCCTGTTCTGCTCTACTACTCGGCTGAAGGACCGGAGAAGTAGCCAGAAATCGTTGACTTTTATTGCCGATTTGAGTTCGCATAGTGAGCGTTCTAGGACAACGTCGATGAGAATTCGCCCATTCTGCTTCGCATATTCTACGTTTCGTAGATTCTCCAGAAAGACCGACTTATTTGTCTAGTTGCAGTATGCATGCGTCGCTCGTTCAATTGCAGGCGTATTTTTTGTATGATCGCGACGCCGCGCG